CCCCAAACCCCCCGCAGGGCTCCGTGGGGCGTCTGTCCCGCAGTCCACGGACGCGTGTGCGCACTGGGAGAGGTGTGCGTCCGTGCATGTCTGCGCAAGTATAGGATTGTGTGCCTAGGCGCGTGTCCAAACGCTCTCTGCCTACGTGTCTGGGTCGGCGTGGGTCCGGATCTACTCGGAAGGCGCGTGTACACGCGGGTCGGTCTCTAGAGAGATGGGCATGTGCGTAGCCAATCGTCTGTAATGTAACTGCACACGTGTGTGTCCGCACACGTGACTGGTGTGTCTGTACACGGCTGTGTGCGCACACGTGTCTCTCTCGGCGCCCGCGCGTGGGTACGAATGCGCAGCCGAGGGCGAGCCCTATCCCAGCTCTCGGGTGGGTTTGGCCGTGGATTTCCCCAGCCCGGGCCCTGCGTGGCTACTATCGCCCGCCCCGGGGACCGGCCCCTGCGTGTTTTGGGGACTGGCTGGGCCAGGGATCTCTCCCCGTTGCCCCGCGGCGGGTGTGTACCGCTTGCAGGGCCGAGCGAGGGAACAGCCCGGCTCGGCAGCGTCAGCCCTGTTCAGACCGCGGGACTGGCCCAGCCTGGCGACGAGGGCCCGGACCTGCCCTGCCTTGCCCGGGCTTGCAGGGCCCGTCCGGGGGCCACGCAGCCTTTGCTGAGACCGGCCAGCTCGGGCAGAGTTGGGTTGGCTCGGGGCTGGGCCCCCGGGCCGGGCGCGATCTGCGTCCTCAGGGCGCAACCCCTCCCCGCCCTGCTGCTGGAAAGCTCTGGGTGCAAGGCTAGCCGCTCCGGGCAGGACAGCTCCGCATCTCCAGCCCCGGGCAGCGCCCCAGCTCGCCCACCGAGCCAAGGATCCCCCGGGCATGACCAAGAAACGCTGCTACACTAGGGGCAGGGGCGCAGCCCAGCAGGCTGCGGGTGGAGAGGCGCAAAGTCTGGCTTCGTCAAAGGGCACAGAGCCAACGAACTGCGTCTTGGAGAGAGGCGCTCGCTGCGCGCACAGCCCCGTTGCGACTGGTGTGTGTGACCACAGGATCTGCTGTGCCAGCCCTGTGAGGGAAGAGCAAACCCCTCAGGGGCCCCTTCAGGAAAGACCCCTAAGAGAGCAAAGCACATAGACCCTCTGCAGTCCTGAGCCCACAGTGGCCCCGCACTAGCTCTCTGCTGTGACCCAGCTGCAGGCCCTCACCAAGTCTGCACCCCCTGGCACAAAGCCAGCCACTCCAAACCTGCCCACCAGGGTTCCCTGTAATCTGAGCACTTGGGCATCTGCCCAGGAGAGATTCAAAAGCAGCCCAGCTCACTAGCAGAGCCCTCACAACCAGCAGCATGTGAGTCTACTTGGGGTGCACATCTGCACATGCCTTGGTGCACATACATTTTATTCTGCACATGGATGGAAAAAATTAGAGGGAACATTGCTGTCCACTGCTAGCAACCCCTGGCAGTGAGGACTCACATTCTGCTCCACCTGGCCCCGGTTAAAAGCATCCCAGGGGCCAAGTGAAATCAGCAAGGCCCAGACCAGGGGTTACCCAAGAGGAGTTGGGCAACAGCTGTCCACCAGGTGTGGCTCTAACTGCAGCCTTCCGCCAGGGATGGGGCTGGCCCCTATGTAGTATTCTTTACAGAAGACCAGACAGCGGGAGGCTGGGATTCAAAAGACCCTGCAGGAAGAGGAGTCCTGGGTGTGGAGCTGACACTCAGTTACACTTCCTGTTGCTGCCCTGCAGTTAATCTCTCTGGCTCACCCTATCAGACTTGGGCCTTTCACAGGGGAGGCAGCCTGGTGAGAAAGCATCCTGGCACACGAGGGACTGGCCTGCTTGGTTACAAGGGAAGTCTGACAGCTCTCCAACGGGCAGCATAACTGTGCTCAGAGCCACCCCAAGGACAGGCAAAGGTGTGCCCCAGAAGTCTGGGAGAAAACACTACCCACCCGCCACAGCCTGGGGCACTCTGGGACCAGAGAAAACTTCACTCTGTCCAGCTTCTGCAATTCTTCCTGGCTTCAGTGCCGCCAGGTATCCCGCCGGGGGTTCTAGTGACGGGTGAGGGGCTTGAATGAGTATCAAAAGGTAACTCCATGGTCTCGTTCCCACTCATGCCCTGGGACAGACTGCCCTGCAGAGCCCGTGAGACAGGGAGTGGTAGCAGAGCCCTTCAAGTTACCTATAGGCCAGACATGATAGTCTGCCCAAGAAAGAGCCTTCCCCAAGGCCATGGTCACTTTCTCTCCCTTCCCCATGCCTGGGGCAGAGGGAAGAGACTTAACGCCAGTAACTCACAATAATGACAGCGGATCCCGCTCATT